TTTTTTTTTTTTTTTTTTTTTTTTTTTTTTTGAGATGGAGTTTCGCTCATGTTGCCCAAGCTGGAGTGCAATGGTATGATCTTGGGTCACTGCAAAACCTCTGCCTCCCAGGTTCAAGCGACTCTCCTGCCTCAGCCTCCCAAGTAGCTGGGATTACAGGCACCAGCCACAAGGCCTGGCTTATTTTTTTTGTATTTTTAGTAGAAACGGGGTTTTACCATGTTAGCCAGGCTGGTCTTGAACTCCTGACCTCAGGTGATCCGCCCACCTCCATCTCCCAAAGTGCTGGGATTACAAGCGTGAGCCACTGCACCCAGCCACTCTAAGATCTTTAATAAAGGGCCCCATAAATCTAAAGCAGGTTAGGGATATGGGGATGAAAGATATATGAATCTGGCTGGGCGTGGTAGGTCACGTTTGTAATCCCAGCACTATGGGAGGCCAAGGCAGGTGGATCACCTGAGGTCAGGAGTTCAAAACCAGCCTGACCAACATGATGAAATCCCATCTCTACTAAAAACACAAAAATTAGCCAGGTGTGTTAGCACATGTCTGTAATCCCAGCTACTCGGGAGGCTGAGGCATAAGAATCACCTGCATCTGGGAGGTAGAGGTTGCAGTGAGCCAAGATCACACCATTGCACTCCAGCCTGGGCAACAAGAGTGACAGTCTGTCTCAAAAAAGAAAAAGAAAAAGATATATAAATCTGTGAACCTATCAATACTGTCCTGTTTGCATTGCCAAGGCTCTTGCTAATCCTCGCTCTGTCAAATCTCAGTGTGTTAAGATGGTCTTTCCCACAGAGCATCCCCCAAGCTTTCAAATTTGCCTTCCAGTTTAGACAGCTGGCCTCTGTCCTTTAGGGCCATATGAGAACTCACTCCTTGTCTCTTTCTGCCAAAGCCTGATGACTCCCTGGAGCCTTTCTTCGACTCCCTGGTAAAGCAGACCCACGTTCCCAACCTCTTCTCCCTGCAGCTCTGTGGCGCTGGCTTCCCCCTCAACCAGTCTGAAGTGCTGGCCTCGGTTGGAGGGAGCATGGTGAGTAGGTTCTCAGAAAGGGGAAGTCCTGGCACTGGGAGAGAGATGGGTGCCATCTGCCCCCCTCCCTGAAAGCTATACCACAGTTTTGGCTCCAGTACTTAGAATCAAGAGGAACCTCTTATATTCCTTACCCTCACTTTATTTTTCTATTCTTTTCTTCTTTGCATTATTCCAGAAAGGAATCAAGGCATCTATGGTAAACTTGGAAAGGAATGCAATTAGGAAAATTTCAAAGGAAATGAAAATAAGACGTGTTGAATGAAAATTACTCATTTTGACGGTCAGAAGGCAGAGATATAAGGAGTTTGTCTATTTATTAATTAATTAGAACATGGTAAATTGTTCTCCAATAAGCAGAGAAAATATAACTTGTAATAGAAACAAATAACCATTCATTCAACATTTATTATGGCAGTTTAGATTTAAATTAACTTTATATCAGGGGCTGTATGATTCTGAAACAAATAATTAAAAATCCTAGAAAGTCTTTTTTCCTGAACACATTTAACAAACTAGAAATCACTTTGGGCATGATTTGATTAGAAGCAGAAAGATGAAAAGGGTAACCTGCAGAAGACCTTGCCACCCCAAGAAATCACTGATCTTATTGCTTGGTCCTTGGGGGACTCACTCGCCTTCTGTGCCAGGACACGGGCACCTGCCTCTTTTTTTCCCTAGATCATTGGAGGTATCGACCACTCACTGTACACAGGCAGTCTCTGGTATACACCCATCCGGCGGGAGTGGTATTATGAGGTGATCATTGTACGGGTGGAGATCAATGGACAGGATCTGAAAATGGACTGCAAGGAGGTAATACAACCAAGGGGGACCCAGGGAACGTGAGCCAGTAGGCAATACAGTGTGAAGGAAGACTCTAGTTACGATGTGGGAGGATGAGGCAGAGGTAATAGGACCTGCCAAAAGGGTTCGGAGTTGAGCCTAGAATAGTTAGGGGCTTAATGGTCACACAGCAGGACCTAAGTTTTGGGGCCTAGGGACTGGTAGTGGAAAAAAAACACGGAACTACGTAGTTCTGACGTACTCACTGCCTTGCTTCGTAGCCTTGGGCAAGTCTTTTGCAAGACATGGTGATAGAATGAAGAGTCTGTCTTTGGAGTCAGGGGGAACCAGATCTGAATCTGGCTCTGATGTCTGCTACCTATGTACCCTTAGGCCAGTTACTATTCTGTGTTTCAGTTTCCTTATCTGCAAAACAGGTAAAAATAACTTTCCCAGAATATCAGAGATAATGTATAGTGTTTATCTCTGTGCTTGGCAGTACTCAATTAAAGGTAACTAAACCATTTATGTCTTCCTTCCCTAGATTCTTATGTATGTTAAATTAGAAGAGATAAAAATGTACTAAGAAAAGTTAAAAGCGGCCAGGTGCAGTGGCTCGTGCCTGTAATAATCCCAGCACTTTAGGAGGCTGAGTAGGGCAGATCATTTGAGGTCAGGAGTTTGAGACTAGCCTGGCCAACATGGTGAAACCCCATCTCTACTGAAAATACAAAAAAATTAGCCAGATGTGGTGGCAGGTATCTGTCGTCCCAGCTACTTGGGAGACTGAGGCAGGACAATGATTTGAACCCAGGAGACAGAGGCTGCAGTGAGCTGAGATTGCACCACTGCACTCCATCCTGGGTGACAGAGCTATGTCTCAGAAAAAAAAAAAAAAAAAAATACCGTGTGCCGTCCATCTGTTGGGCACAATTCTAAGTGCTTTCAATTGTTGATTTATTTAATCCTTACAATAACCATTTGAGGTAGGTACTATTTTTATCCTCACTTTAGAGATGAAGAAACTGAGGCACAGAGGTTAACTTGTCTAAGGAGGTAGACTTAGGAGGAGCCAAAGCCAAGATGCCAGCCCAGCCAGGGCCCCAGCAGTAACCCCCTACTGCCCAGAGCCCATCATCAAAAACCTTTTGACTCTAACTCTCTCTTCTCCCACAGTACAACTATGATAAGAGCATCGTGGACAGCGGCACCACCAACCTTCGTTTGCCCAAGAAAGTGTTTGAAGCTGCAGTCAAATCCATCAAGGCAGCCTCCTCAGTGAGTGGACTAAGGATGGGGGTAAAAGAGTTTGTACAGTGTCTGAGGGAGACAGTGAGAGTCATGTTCTTCGGCAAGAGCCAAGATGTCTGCACTCAGACCCTTCTACTCAGAGCTCTTACTCTTCCCCTGGTGGGGCGCAGTGCCTCACACCTGTAATCCCAGCACTTTGGGAGATTGAGGTGGGTGGATCACGAGGTCAGGAGTTCAAGACCAGCCTGACTAACATGGTGGAACCCTGTCCCTACTAAAAGTACAAAAATTGACTGGGTGTGGTGGTGCACGCCTGTAATCCTGGCTACTGGGATGGTGGTTGCTGAGACAGGAGAATCACTTGAACCCCGGAGGTGGAGGTTGCAGTGAGCCAAGATCAGGACACTGTACTCCAGCCTGGGCAACAGAATGAGATTCCGTTTTAAAAAAAAAACAAACCCTTTTATGGGTGTCACTTTGCTTATCACATGACCCTGATACAAAAGTCTGACATCACACCCCCACTCTCTTCCTCTAATCCTTTGGTTGACCCCTCCCCACTTTGGATATTTCACTGGAAAAGCAAATGAAGGGCCCAGTTAATGTATCTGAACATGGGAGGGGCGAGATGATGAAGAGGCTTTTCTTCATTGTTATCTCCTTCTTGCCAACACAGACGGAGAAGTTCCCCGATGGTTTCTGGCTAGGAGAGCAGCTGGTGTGTTGGCAAGCAGGCACCACCCCTTGGAACATTTTCCCAGTCATCTCACTCTACCTAATGGGTGAGGTTACCAATCAGTCCTTCCGCATCACCATCCTTCCACAGGTATGTCCCAGCTGGAGTCAGTGGGATCTCAGAAAGGGGCAAAGTACATACTGGGAGACAGTGAGCAGGCATGGCTTGCCAGAACTTGGAAGACAGATGAGTAGTATCCAGTGGTAAAGGGGTCTTAGAAAACCCAATGTGTCAGAGCTCAGGGATGGCAAAGGGAAGGGCGCAGATGCCTAGAAGGCAGAGATGGGGTGAAGGAGAGTGAGGGAGACACTCACCCTGTGATTGCTTACCCCTAGCAATACCTGCGGCCAGTGGAAGATGTGGCTACATCCCAAGACGACTGTTACAAGTTTGCCATCTCACAGTCATCCACGGGCACTGTTATGGGAGCTGTTATCATGGAGGGCTTCTATGTTGTCTTTGATCGGGCCCGAAAACGAATTGGCTTTGCTGTCAGCGCTTGCCATGGTGAGAGTGCCAGGGTTGAGGGTTTGGGATCAGTCTCTCTGTATTTTCCTTGTCAACCAACAGTTAGTATACCTGAGTCCCTGTCAGTTTAGGGGAGGGTAGTTAACAATTGCCTTAAACCCAAGTCAACAATTCTGCAAAAGCTAGTGTCAATGCTTGTCCTTTTTTTGTACTGCCTGCCATAATGACCAACGCCTGGATTGGTAACCTCCACTGGAAACCGAGCATCAAGAGCTGCCTGGGTACTTTGGGAAGCTCTTGATGCAAGGGTAGCAGGCTGAGCCCACAGTGACCCTGTCAGCTGCCACATGGCAAGGTTGAATGCTACTTCAGAAAGGTGGCAGGATTTTGCAGTTGGATTTCAGCAGCAGAAAGTAAGTTTACTAGGTGTGGCTTTTGGTCAAGGGGCTGGCTTTTGGTCAACTCAGGACTACTGACTTAGTTATCACTCCTGCCGGCTGAGTATACAAGGAAGGGCTGCTGGTCTCAGTGACTTGGGAGGGAAGACAGGCTTCTACCTAGTGCTGGCTTCCCGGCCTGCTCCTAATTATCTCCTGGGAAGGATACTGAATAGATTCTGCAGGGGCTAATTTCAGGGTCTATCAGGAAGTTCTTTTTCTTATATAACCCAAACTACTCTATGACCATGAGAGCTGTCCATTCACATTTGCCCTCTCCCCAGTGCACGATGAGTTCAGGACGGCAGCGGTGGAAGGCCCTTTTGTCACCCCGGACATGGAAGACTGTGGCTACAACATTCCACAGACAGATGAGTCAACCCTCATGACCATAGCCTATGTCATGGCTGCCATCTGCGCCCTCTTCATGCTGCCACTCTGCCTCATGGTGTGTCAGTGGCGCTGCCTCCGCTGCCTGCGCCAGCAGCATGATGACTTTGCTGATGACATCTCCCTGCTGAAGTGAAGAGGCCCATGGGCAGAAGATAAGAGATTCCCCTGGACCACACCTCCGTGGTTCACTTTGGTCACAAACAGGAGACACAGATGGCAACTGTGGCCAGAGCACCTCAGGACCCTCCCCACCCACCAAATGCCTCTGCCTAGATGGAGAAGGAAAGGCTGGCAAGGTGGGTTCCAGGGACTGTACTTGTAGGAAACAGAAAAGAGAAGAAAGAAGCATTCTGGTGGCGGGAATACTCTTGGTCACCTCAAATTTAAGTTGGGAAATTCTGCTGCTTGAAACTTCAGCCCTGAACCTTTGTCCACCATTCCTTTAAATTCTCCAACCCAAAGTATTCTTCTTTTCTTAGTTTCAGGAGTACTGGCATCACACCCAGGCTACCCTGGCATGTGTCCCTGTGGTACCCTGGCAGAGAAGAGACCAATCTTGTTTCCCTGCTGGCCAAAGTCAGTAGGACAGGATGCACAGTTTGCTGTTTGCTTTAGAGACAGGGACTATATAAACAAGCCTAACATTGGTGCAAAGATTGCCTCTTGAATTAAAAAAAACTAGATTGAATATTTATACAAATGGGGGCGGTTGGAAAGAGGAGAAGGAGAGGGAGCACAAAGACAGGGAATAGTGGAATCAAAGCTAAGAAAGGCAGAAACACAACCATTCACCAGTCCCAGTTTTAGACCTCATCTCCAAGAGAGATAGCATCCCATCTCATAAGATGGGTGTTGTTTTCAATGTTTTATTTTCTGTGGTTGCAGCCTGACCAAATGTGAGATGGGAAGGGCTTATCTAGCCAAAGAGCTCTTTTTTAGCTCTCTTAAATGAAGTGCCCATTAAGAAGTTCTACTTAACACATGAATTTCTACCATATTTGATTCACTTGTATCTACCCTGAACTCTTTATTCTACATATGATAGGCAGCACTGAAATATCCTAACCCCCTAAGCTCCAGGTGCCCTAGGGGAGAGCAACTGGAATATAGCAGGGCTGGGCTCTGTCTTCCTGGTTACAGGTTCACTCTTTCCCCCAAATCTTCCTCTAGAGCTTTGCAGATGAGGTGCTAAAAGGAATAGGTAGGAGACCTCTTCTACCTAATCCTTAAAAGCATAATGTTGAAGATTCATTCAACAGCTGTTGCCCTATAATTCCTGCCTGGATTTTTTCCTATTATGCTGTAAGAAGTGGCAAGATCTTTACATAATACAGAGTGGTTTCATTGCCTTCCTACCCTCTCTAATGGCCCCTCCATTTATTTGACTAAAGCATCACACAGTGGCACTAGTATTATACCAAGAGTATGAGAAGAACAGTGCTTTCTGGTTCTAACATCATTGCCTTCAGTATCAAGGCTGCCTGGAGAAAGGATGGCAGCCTCAGGGCTTCCTTATGTCCTTCACCACAAAAGCTCCTTAATGAAGGCCATCTTTTTCCCCTATCCTGCTCTCCCCTCCCCACTTCTAATGGTACGTGGGTACCCAGGCTGGTTCTTGGGCTAGGTAGTGGGGACCAAGTTCGTTACCTCCTTATCAGTTCTAGCATAGTAAACTACAATACCAAGTGTCAGTGGGAAGAGCTGGGTTTTCCTGGTATACCCACTTCATCCTACTCCTATCTGGTCAACACGCTGCTTCCAGGTATGGGACCTGCCAAGTGTGGAATTACCTGATAAGGGAGAGGGAACTACAAGGAGGGCCTCTGGAGTTCCTGGCCTCAGCCAGCTGCCCGCAAGCCATAAACCAATAAAACAAGAATACTGAGTCAGTTTTTTATCTGGGTTCTCTTCATTCCCACTGCACTTGGTGCTGCTTTGGCTGACTGAGAACACCCCCTAACTACAGAGCCTGACAGGAAGACTGGAGACTGTCTGCTTCTAGCTTGGAACTTACTGTGTAAATAAACTTCCAGAACTGCTACCATGAAGTGAAATGCCACATTCTGCTTAGTAATTTCTACTTATGTTGGGAAAAACCGGCTTTTTTCCAGCCCTGTGCAGGGCATAAAACTCAACCCCTTCAATAGCAAGTCCCATCAGCCTATTTTTTTTTAAAGAAAACTTGCACTTTGTTTTCTTTTAACAGTTACGTCCTTCCTACCCCAAAACTATAAACTCTAAGTGTAAAAAAAAAAAAAAAAAAAAAAGTCTTACCAACAGCTTCTTGCTTATAAAAATATGTATTATACACCCCTATTTTTAAACTCTACTGAAAAATGACTGTCCCATTCTCCACTCACTGCGTTTGCAGCCTTTCCCATTGGTCTGCATGGCTTTTATTATTGCAGGCCAGTGGACAGAGGGAGAAGGGAGAACAGGGGTGGCCAACACTTGTGTTGCTTTCTGACTGATCTTAAACAAGAAAAAGAGTAACACTGAGGCCCTTGCTCCCATGCACAACTCTCCAAAACACTTATCCTCCTGCTAGAGTGGGCTTTCCAGAGTTTTTACTGGGAAGCAGTTAAGCCCCCTCCTCACCCCTTCCTTTTGTCTCTTTTTACTCCTTTGGCTTCAAAGGTTTTTTGGAAAATAAACAACATGCTTTACACTTATTTCTAATTTCTAAATTTTCAGGGGATACTGAAAAATACGGCAGGTGGCCCAAGGCCGCTGTAAAGTTGAGAGGAGAGGAAATCTTAAAATTACAAGATAAAAGGCCGGGCGTGGTGGCTCACGCCTGTAATCCCAGCACTTTGGGAAGCTGAAGTGGGTGGATCACCTGAGGTCAGGAGTTGGAGACCAGCATGACCAACATGGAGAAACCCCATCTTTAAAAAAAAAAAAAAAAAGGTTACAAGATAAAAAATGAATCCCCTAACCGAAAAGAACAATGGAACAGGTCTTCCATTTTGCCATCTTTCCTGTTCATGACAGCTACTAACCTGGAGACAGTAACATTTCATTAACCAAAGAAAGTGGGTCACCTGACCTCTGAAGAGCTGAGTACTCGGGCCACTCCAATCACCCTACAAGATGCCAAGGAGGTCCCAGGAAGTCCAGCTCCTTAAACTGATGCTAGTCAATAAACCTGGGCAAGTGAAGCAAGAGTATTGAGAAAGAATCCATCTGTGAGTGGACAGGCAAGGATGAAAGACCAAGAAGGAAAAGAGTATCAAAAGCAGAGAGATCATTTAGTTGGGTCTGAAAGGAAAAGTCTTTGCTACCCTGAAATGTATTGCTAGTAGGTCCCAGAATGGAAAAAAAAAAATCAGCTGTTGGTAATATAATAATGTCCTTTCCCTGGAGCCAGTTATTAAAAAAAACAAAACAAAACAAAAAAAACTGCTTAGTTTTTACTTGTTTAATTCTAAAAGAGAAGGGAGCTGAAGCCATTCCCTGTAGGAGTAAAGATAAAAGGACAGGAAAAGATTCAAAGCTCTAATAGAGTCACAGCTTTCCCAGGTATAAAATCTAAAATTAAGAAGTACAATAAGCAGAGGTGGAAAATGATCTAGTTCCTGATAGCTTCCCACAGAACAAGTGATTTATAAACTTGAAATCCAAACTACTTTCTTAATATCACTTTGGTCTCCATTTTTCCCAGGACAGGAAACATGTCCCCCATAACTTCTTGCTTTAAAAATTAAAATCCAGCATCCCAAGATCTTTCCATAAGTAATTCTGCACAGACATCTCCTCACCCCAGTGCCTGTCTGGAGCTCACCCAAGGTCACCAAACAACTTGGTTGTGAGCCAACTGCCTTAACCTTCGGGGGGAGGGAGTTAGCTAGACAAGGAGACCAGAAGTGAATGGGAAAGGGTTAGGACTCCACAATGTTGGCCTGTCAGAGCTTGATTAGGAACCAAGCCAGGGGGTTTACCTGTGGGTCATGCTAATTTCTATGCAGAAAATAGGGTGGACAGGAGCTTCTGGGGTGCATGAAGGGATTGGAACCTGGTTATGTTGTTATTCTCGGACTGTGAATTTTGGTGATGTAAAACAGAATATTCTGTAAACCTAATGTCTGTATAAATAATGAGTGTTAACACAGTAAAATATTCGGTAAGAAGTCAAACTACCAGGGTTACTTTTTTTCCCCCAATCGGAGTCTCATTTTATCCATTTGGAGTAGAGTGGCTAAAACAATACTGAGGCTTCTGTAGGCTTTCGGTAAGCAAGGCATCTGGTTGGACAGTGGGTGAGCACCAGGCTTCAAATCTGCATACATGAGCCTTAAGAAAATGGACGAGAGGCTGAGCCAAACCAAAGCAGGATGGCCTTAGAGCAACAGCAGCTTCCTAGGTGGTTTTTATATTGTATTTGAAAACAGCTCTGGGCAGGGATATCATAATTTCAAGGTCAAACTAAGCATCATCTTCCCTACAATCTGCATCCCCCAAAGGAATTGCAAGATGAGGGGGAACAGACTGTTTCTGCATAATATACATACTTTCATTTACGAACATTGGAATACAGACTTTCTATACACACATTACCTATATAATAAAAATGTACATGGCATGAGTATATGTCACTGTATAAATATAGAGTTTTAGAAATCTTGAACCCGCACTTCCTGTTCACATCAATTTCTCCTCTTCTTCCTCCCCAGTCAGGTCCGTCATTTAAGAGTTGGACAAAAGGGACAAGTGTCATTTGTGTTGGTCTGGGCCCAGAATTTGATACACTGGAAAGAAAGAAAGACATACTTCAGGTTTATCTGGAAAGACAAAGGGAAGGAGGAGAGAGTGCCAATAAGTTAGGCCTAAGTTAGAAAAGTTCTTACTGTGAAGTACAAGAGAGCTCTATTTTTTTTTTTTTTTTTGAGACAGTCTCACTCTATTATTGCCCAGGCTGGAGTGCTATGGTGTGATCTCAGCTCACTGGAACCTCTGCTTCCTGGGTTCAAGCGATTCTCCTGCCTCAGCCTCCCAAGTAGCTGGGATTACAGGTATTTGCCACTATGCCCAGCTAATTTTTACATTTTTAGTAGAGATGGGGTTTCACCTTGTTGGCCAGGCTGGTCTCAAACTCCTGGTCTCGAGTGATCTGCCTGCTTCGGCCTCCCAAAGTGCTGGGATTACAGGTATGAACCACTGCGCTTGGCCCCAAGAAGGGCTGTTTCAATGGCTCTTACGCTAAAAGAATCCTCAGAGCAAGTGAACCTGTCCTTTTCACGAGGAACATTAACAATGAGCTGATGAAAGTGTTCATGGTGCTGCTTTCTGTTGAGTGTCTAGTATGGCTTGCTCCCCCTTAGGATCCATTTAACCTGAGATGAGCGTTCTAATACCCGTCACCCTCAAATCTTATTCAGAAATTTTTCTTACCAAGAATGTAGATGTAAATTCAGTTTCTACCTCTTGGAAAAGCAAAATGAATGAAACAAAATGGTTAAGAAGGAATCATCCCTGCTACTAAGAGATTTAACTCTTCCTGGCGACATAAAAGAACAGGAATGACTTGTTGGTCTGTGAAGATAATCTCTAACAGGCAAGCCTTCCAAGCTATTCTGTTAATGGAGTTACTAATCTCATACTCAGGTCCTCCATTCCATTCCTCTTATCTAGGAAAAGTCTTTTGACAATGCTACATTTGGAACAACAGTTAGATATGTGGGATTATCACTCACTGTCAATTTTCCAAGCAAGGGACTTAGTGCTCAGTATGAATTGCTTATCCAGTCCCCTGAAGGAAATGGGGTAAAAAGAAGCTGAGAGATCCTAACTGCAGTATTCTAAATTCTGCTAATATTTAAGCCACTGTTTACTGAAAACCTTATGATTAGATATTAAAGACCAGGTGCAGTAGCTCAAGCATGTAATCCCAGCACTCTGGGAGGCTGAGGCAAGAGGACCACTTGAGCCCAGGAGTTTGAGACCAGCCTGGGCAACAGAGCAAGACCTCATCTCTACTAAAAAAGAGAAAGAAGAAAATTAGCTGGGCATGATGGCATGCACCTGTAGTCTCAGCTACTCGAGACTGAAACATCTTGAGCCTAGGAGATTGAGGCTGCAGTGAGCTATACTCGTGCCACTGCATTCCAGTCTGAGCAACAGAATGAAACCCTGTCTCAAAAAAGAAAAAGAAATGCCGGGCTTGGTGGCTCATGCCTGTAATTCCAGCACTTTGAGAGGCCAAGGTGGGTGGATCACAAGGTCAGGAGTTCGAGACCACCCTGGCCAATATGGTGATACCCCGTCTCTATTAAAAATATAAAAATTAGCCGGTGTGGTGGTGGTCACCTGTAGTCCCAGCTACTTGGGAGGCTGAGACAGGAGAATTGCTTAAACCCAGGAGGTGGCGGTTGCAGTGAGCCAAGATTGCTCCACTGTACTCTAGCCTGGTGACAGAGTGAGGCTCCATCTCAAAAAAAAAAAAAAAAAAAAAGAGAGATATTAATGATGAGCACCAACACAGTAAAATAAAGGTTATCTTAGCTATCAGGGAAAAAAGTAGAAAATGAGAAAGAAAAATTATTTTAGGTGTCAGAATAAAAAGAGGAGAAAATGACAAAGGTCTGTAACACCTACCTCCTTGTGCAATACATGAGTACACGCCATTGGATGCAGCTCACTGGGCTGGACGAGTTTCTGGCACATTAGACACAGCTTACAGGTGGCTGGAGCCTGTAGAACAGAGGAGACATAGTCAAAATGTAAGGAAACTTGCGCCTCCTTGCCATTTATGACCATAATTCCATGCATCAAAATGATTTCTATCAAAAGAAATAAAAATCCAAATATAGATTCTTGCCTAAAATACTTGCATTTTCCCAGTAGGGCTGCAAATAACCCAACTGATGGTTTCTTCCTGCACTCCACCTGTAAACCCACTACTTCCTCACCTCCAGCTTCTCCATACCACACTGTTCAAAGAAAAAGAATCTTACATGTGAAGACCTTCCAGGATATGAAACTTGGGCAGAAGGCAAGAACATTGGGGTACTGATTTGGGCCAGTGGAGCAGGGAACAAGGCCCGGATGCGACCAAGTGGCTGTAACAGAGCATATCACAAAAATCACTTATTTCCTAGTCCAGCAAAGGAAAAAAGCAGACTAACTACCACTGGCTGGAATGCTTCTTCCCACCCCATGTTTTTCTGAAATCTGCCTCCTTCCCACACCTCAGTAGGCCTAAGTTCTCTGCTGAGTAGCTTTCCTCACCTGAGTGCTTGCTGCCACCCGCTCATGTTCTGCCAAACGTGCAGCAACCAACTGGATAAGTTCCTCCATGGTCAGGCCTGCCATGGTGGTACGTGCTGTCTTGATCTGCTGAAGAATGTTGGTCATCTGGGCCCTGAGAAAGAAAAATGTTGAGGGAGAGAAAGCCTACACTATACCCATGGGGAACACCCATGTAACATCCCCTATTTTAACTCATAAGCATTTCTCTGATAAAGGAATTTGAATTAGTCCTTGAAGATACTTACTTATTGCACTGTGGGAACCGAGTCAACAGCTTCTCCAGGATCTTCTCCAGTTTGTCTACTGGTTGTGGCCGGGGAGTTTCAGTAGAAGCCTTAACACCACCCAAGCCTGGGGGAGGCGGGATGGAGGCAGCAGGGGGCATGTGTGGACCGTGGGGGCTGACAAGGGAACCCAAGCCAGGGCTGTTTCTGCCATGGGAGCCAGGAAGGGGTGAGGAAGGCTGGCTGGGCTGGGAAAGGGCAGGGTTCAGGATTGGGAAAGACAAGGAGCGGGGATCTGCACTGGGCATAACCATGGGCATTGTGACCTGCCCAATGGAGAAGGGCATTCGAGGAGCCAGAGAGGGACTAGGTTGAAACACCTGAAGCATGAAGTCTGTCTGCAAAGAAGAAGAGGTAGAGGACAAGAGAGAAAGGAAGAAAAAGAAAGTTTAGGAAACTGGAGAAGAAATCAATGAACAACTCTTGCTGAATAGGGATGGTCACAATATCTTCATAAAAAGAACAAGTACAAGACTCTGCTTCTACTACCAACACAGAAAGGTGAACTTCCCCCCAAAGCCAGCTCTCTTACCTCTGATGGGGGTGGAGGTAAAGTGGGAGTAGGGATTTGAGGAAGGCTGCTCAGCTTGGCTCCATTCCTCACTAACTGGATATGACTATTAAATTGGTCCTAAAAAAAAAAAAGGATTATTTTTACTGCTGAACTGAGGCTCTCTAGAAAGACAGCACCGCCCATTATTAGAAAAACAAAAGGAATAGTAGGATAGGCCCTAAATAGCAATAAAAAAGGCTACCTCCCAATTACAAGAAGTGTTATGCACAGACTAACACTGACTGAATGATCACACATAAATACACTTACACGAACATTTTTTTTCATTATCCGAACTCCATTCAGTCTCGTCTCCCACTCCTGCTTGGAACGAACTGTCTCCAGTGTTGGGGGAGTTGACCTTTCAACAAACCAACAGGAATTTACAGATTTAAAGAAAGCCCTGCTGGACACAGTGACTCACACCTATAATCCCAGCACTTTGAGACACCAAGGCAGGGGATCACTTGAGCTCAGGAGTTCAAGACCACCCTAGGCAACGTGGCAAAACCCCATCTCTAAAAAAAAGTGCAAAATTAGCCAGATGTGGTGGCTCTCATCTATAGTCCCAGCGACTTGGGAGGCTGAGGTAGGAGGATAGCTTGTGCCCAGGAGGCAGAGGTTACAGTGACCCAAGGTGGCACCACTGTACAACAGAGGGAGACCCAGTCTCAAAAAAAAAAGCCCAATTCCTAATTCTCTGAGATAGCAAAATAGTAGCTGGTTAATTGACCTTGAGAAAAGAGGTGGGAACAGGTGTAGGAGAAGCCCAAGATTCTAATTCCTTTGCCTCACTTTAACTCCAGTATCTTTTAAGCCAAGTTTTTGAGAAAGAGAACCAACCACAGTGAGAGGATTCTTGTCTGCCTGAAAATGCCACAGGGGTCCTCCAAGTTCCACGGCAGAAAGAAAAAGAAATGACTACATAGGAAAACGAATCTCCAAAGACCACTGTCATGCTTTGATAGATTAACGGATGCTAGCCATTTTTTATTTTTTAGAGACAGGGTCTCACTGTCATCTAGGCTGCGGTGCAGTAATGCAATCAAAGCTCACTGCGGCCTCGACTTCCTGGGCAGACAAGTGATCCTCCTGCCTCGACCTCCCAAAGTGCTGAGATTACAGGAGCATGCTATTACATCTGGCTTTCACAGAATGTTAAAGCATTAAAAAATACAAAACTATAAAACTGTAGAAGGGAAGAGTTAGAGTACAGAAGTTCATAATATGGGAAGAGAAATCACTGTAATTGCTATTGCAGTCAGAGATAGCCTTACAATTCCTATGAAGATAGAATAAGTGTCAGACTTGCTGGCCTAGGAATTCAAAAACCTAAACAAACAAACTGCAAGACAATTAAAGCTGTAGAATGGAAAGGTACCTACTTGAGGTAAGTAAGGTGCAATTCTGCCTCTTTTTCTGCTTCTTCTAGTTTCAGTACCAATAACTCTTTCCGGCTTTCTAGTGATAAGATCTAAGGAAGCCACACACATATAAATATTAATTTTACATACACAAAGCTACAAATGAAACAGTGAAAACAAATGCTTACTGGCTCTCCTATTACAATGCCAAAAGTAGATACCATTTAGAAGCCTAAAATTAAGGCTTTCAAGATATCAGCTGCTCTTCTCACCTCTGCCTTCCAGGCACGTTCAGTCTCTTCCATAATGTTCCTATTTATTTCACCATCCTGATTCTTAAGTCTATCCAGTTCCATTTCCCACACCTCTCTGTAAGATAAGAAACCAAGAAAAAGACTAAGAAAGAAAGATAAGCTTGTTGAGAGACACCAAAGCAAAAGTAAAACCCAAAATTGGTCAGCCGAGTGTGTTACAGGAAGTCTTACTCTAAGTATTAACGATATTTATTTTTCTTTCTTCTTATTTTTTGCTAATCAAAAGAGAGTTAAAGTATCAAATACAGATACAGACAAATAATGTTTAAAGTGGTCTGCCATTGCATAAAGGCGCTGTATTTGAAAGTAAAAATGTTGTGGCCGGGCATGGTGCCTCATGCCTGCAATCCCAGCATGAGATATTATGTAATCCCAGCATAATCAGGAGTTTGAGACTAGCCTGGCCAACATAGTGAAACCCCATCTCTACAAAAAATATACAAATTAGCTGGGCATGGTGGTGCACACCTGTAATCCCAGCTACTCAGAAGGTTAAGGCAAGAGAATCACTTGAATCTGGGAGTCAGAGGTCGCCGTGAGCCGAGATCGCGCCACTGTACTCCTGCTTGGGCTACAAAGTGAGACTCCATCTCAAAAATAAAAAGTAAAAACTTTTATATCTCCACTTGCTAAAATAAGGTTACTTAGAGCAGGAAAAAGAGTGCATCTTAGAACAAAAGCCCTCCATTGAAGGCAGAACATTCTTCTATGTTCAAGAGGATTCAAAATTATCATGGTATTCTGCAGTCTTATTTCCCAACATGTCTTTTAGTATGGGTCCTGAAGAATGTGGGACCAAATACAGGTGTCCACTTTTTTTTTTTTTATAGACAAGGTCTCACTCTGTTGCCCAGACCAAAGTACAGTGCTATGACTTTGATTCACTGCAGCCTCAACCCCACGGGGTCAAGCAATCTTCTTGCCTTAGCCTCCCAAGTAGCTGGGACTACAAATGCATGCCACCACCCATGCCTGGCTAATGTTTATTTTTTGTAGAGACAGGGGTCTCACTTTGTTCTACAGGCTGTTCTCAAACTCCTGGGCTCAAGCCATCCTCCCACCTCAGCCTCCCATGGTGCTGGGATGACAGGCTACTTGGCCTGGCCAGAGACGTACTTAATATTCATCCTTAATAGAGCAAATCACTAATTTGCTACTAAACACACTGATGCAAGCGTATTAATTTTCAAATTTTCCTAGCTATAGTAACTATGCTTCAAAAGGAAACAGTGTTCTCTTCATACCTCAGGACTTCTCATTTTCCTTGGTTACCTCACTCTTACATGCTTTCCCCCCACTCAGCATTAGAGGGACCAACTGTCCTGGTTTGCCCAGTACTGAGGGATTTCCCAGGATGGATGGCTTTCAGTGCTAAAACTGGGATGGGTGATCACCCTACTCAGAATTGAAGAGGCCATTAAGCAATACCATTAAAGCAAATTCCATTAAAGGAATTTCCTTATATTACATTTGATTGTGGTAAGTTTTATAGCTGGAAGCCCAGATTACCAAGATCAGTGGACAGAATACGATGAAAATACTGAAATTATCTCCCCTACGTTTTAAAAAGGTAAAAATAAGAAGAAAAGCTTGGGAAGAGTTACATCTTTTTTTTTTCCTTTGGAGACAGAGTCTTGCTCTGTTGCCAACGCTGGAGTGCAGTGGCATGATCTAGGCTCACTGCAAGAGATTCTCCTGCCTCAGCCTCCTGAGTAGCTGGGACTACTCAGGCGTGTGTCACCATGCCCAGCTAATTTTCTGTATTTTTAGTAGAGACGGGGTTTTACCATGTTAGCCAGGATGGTCTCAATCTCCTGACCTCATGATCCGCCCTCCTCGGCCTCCCAAAGTGCTTGGATTACAGGTGTGAGCCACTGCACCCAGCCAAGGGCTAAATCTTAAGAAAAATGTTCCCATTTTTCTGTTTTGTTTTTGTTTTTGTTTTAGAGATGGAGTCTCTGTCACCCAGGCTGAAGTGCAGTGGTGCGATCTGGGCTCACTGCAGTCTCCACCTCTAGAGTTCAAACGATTCTCCTGCCTCAGCCTCCCGAGTAGCTGGATTACAGGCGCCCGCCACCATGCCCAGCTAATTTTTTTTTTTTTGGTATTTTTAGTAGAGACGGGGTTTTGTCATGTTGGCCAGGGTGGTCTCGAACTCCTAACCTGAAGTGATCCACCCACCTCGTCCTCCCAAAGTGCTGTGATTACAGGCATGAGCCACCATGCCTGGCCTTTTCTTCAGTGAGAGAAACTTTCATTTCCCTTCTGTTTTTGTAGTAACCTTACATATATGAAAGGGAGCAATTTGCTTAACATAAGTATATGAGGCCCTTTCCTCTCACATATTCTTGCTTTTGACCCAATTCTCCACACATCCCTCATTCTCCATTTCATGTATAGGGAGGGAAGGGATGTATGTGTCTGTGTGTTCACACTTATTCATTCAATCTCAAATATTGTCGGCTCTATTGACAAGGTCTATTCATCTAATAGAAATGAGAAGTAGGTGGGCATTTTCTGCCTCAATTTCCAGGTATTGTCTTCCCCCAGTTAACTTCCTAGCACAGAACACATTCTCTAGTAATTTTGGTTTTTATTTTGAGACTGTCACCCAAGCTGGAGTGCAGTGGCAGGATCCTGGCTCACTGCAACCTCCACCTCCCAGGTTCAAGCAATTCTCCTGCCTCAGCCTCTGAAGTAGCTGGGACTACAGGTGCGTACCAGCACGTTTGGCTAATTTTTGTATTTTTAGTAGAGACAGGGTTTTGGCATGTTGGCCAGGCTGGTCTCAAACTCCTGACCTCAGTGATCCACCAGCTTCAGCCTCCCAAAGTGCTAGAATTACAAGTGTGAGCCACCACAGCCAGCCTAATAATTCTTTAGACAAAGATTTTATAGGTAGCTGTGTTTTCCGCTACAACACATATTCCCTCCATTCCAAAATATATGAAGAGTCAGAATGTTCTTACCATAAAAATATGTAAAATACATTAGAGTCAATCCATCTAGCTTGCTATTCACTCTGACAATGGGATAATTGTGAGAAAACAGGACAGTTGCCTTCTGTGACTGGTGTTATCCTTGAAGATTATGGATACTCACTGAACATCTCTAACTTTCATTAAATACATTGTCAACTACAAATATAAACTTATATTAGAAAAATCCTCTTATGTCAATGGAGACATTCCACATATTCACATATTCCTGTGGGCAAAAAGCCCACAGAAAAATATTTTTGCCCACATTTACCTCACTGGGATCTAACAAAAGGAACTACTCGCAACAGTAGCAAAAATGGTTAAGAAATTATTTTTTTATTTTATTTAGAGAGAGGGTTTCACTGTATTGTCCAGGCTGGAGTGCACTGGCATGATCATAACTCACTATAACCTTGAACTCTGGAACTCCCACTTCAACCTCCTGAGTAACTAGGACTATTGGCATGGATCATCATGCCCAGCAAATTTTTTAATTTTTTTGTAGAGATAGAGTCTCCCTACATTGCCCAGACTGGTCTGGAACTCCTGGCCTGAAGTGATCTTCCTGAATTATCTCCCAAAGCTCTGGCATTATAGGCATGAGCCACTGTGCCCAGCCTTGTTCCAGTTCTGAGGGGTAATGCTTTCAACTTTTCTCTCTTCAGTGTGATGGTGGCTGTGGGTTTGTCATACATGGTTTTTATTATTTTGAGGTATGTTCCTTCTACGCCTAGTTTATTGAGGATTTTTACCATACAGGGATGCGGGATTTTATCAAATGCTTTTTCTGCATCTATTGAAATGATCATATGGTTTTTGTTTTTAATTTGGTTTATATGGTGAATCACACTTACTGACTTGTGTATGTTGAGCCATCCTTGCATTACTAGAATGAAAACCACTTGATTGTGGTGAATTATCTTTTTGATATGCCATTCAATTTGGTTTTGCTAGTATTCTATTGAGGATTTTTGCATCGATGTTCTTCGGGGGTACTGGTCTGTAGTTTTCTTTTTTTGTTGTGTCCCTTCTTGCCTTCGGTATCAGGCTGAGACTGGTTTTGTAGAATGAGTTAGAGAGGATTCCTTCCTTCCTGATCTTTTGGAATAGTTTCAGTAGGATTGGTATCAGTTTTTTGAATGTCTGGTAGAATTTGGGTGTGAATCCACCTGGACATGGGTCTTTTTGGTTGGGAGATTTTTTAAATTACTGATTCAATCAAACTACTTGTTATTGGTCTATTTCTCCCTGGTTCAAGCTTGGGGATTCCAGGAATTTATCCATTTCATCTAGGTTTTCTAGTCTGTGTACACTTAAGTGTTCATAGTAGTCTCAGATGATCTTTTATATTTCTGTGATATCAGTTATGGTATCTCCACTTTCATTTTTGACTGGGATCTAACAAAAGGAACTACTTGCAACAACAGCAAAAATGGTTAAGAAATTATTTTATTTTCTTTTTTTTTAGAGAGAGGGTTTCAAGTTTATTTGAATCCTCTTGCAGCTAATCCAGCTAGTGGTCTATCATTTTTGTTTATTGCTTCAAAAAAAACAACTTTTAATTTTACTGATTCTTTGTATTTTTTTGGTTTTAATTGTGTTTAGTTCTGTTCTCTGCTTTTTCTTTTCTTCTGCTAGGTTTGGGTTTGGTTTCTTCCTGTTTATCTAATCCCTTGAAGTATGATATTAGATTGACAATTTGTGATCTGTCTTTGTGATGCAGGCATTTGGCACTCTAAACTTCCCTCTTAGTACTGCTTTTGCTGTATCTGAGATTTTGATAACTTCTCTCACTGTTATCAATCATTTCAAAAAATCTTTTACTTTCTATCTGATTTCATCATTAACTCAAAGATCATTCAGGAGCAGGTTAATTCCTAATTTTTATAGGTTTGAGAGTTCCTCTTCGAATTGATTTCTAGTTTTATTCTGCTGTGGTCTGAGAAAATACTTGCTATTATTTCAATTTAAAAAATATATTAAGACTTGTTTCGTAGTTTATCATATGGCCTATCTTAAAAAATGTGCCACTAGGCCAGGTGCAGTGGCTCATACCTATAATCCCAGCACTTCT